CAACATTGTTGAACTCCTATTACTGTGTTTAGTGAAATTTTGTATTGTTTCTAATGCTGTTTTTTTCTATTACTGTTTTGTACTATTATTTTTTTTTGTTTTGTTTTGTATTATTTAAAAAAAGCCAGGTGATGTCTGATAAAATGTCCAACAGTAATGAAGTACTGAAAATTTATCATCTTTGAAACAGAGATGTTCAAAATGGGAATAGTTGATAACCAGAATTCATTTATAGGAGAAATCTATAGAAATCTGGAATACAATTACCTAGACACTTTAGCACCCCAACTCAGGCATGGCAAAAATACTGATGGTGCCTTAGCATATCATTGTGATGTGCTGATGATTTTGTATGAAGAGTGAAATTATAGAATTCATCATGTTCCTCAGCTTTTCTTGGGATCTAGCACTAAAGCAAGTACTTGCATATAACATTGTCTTACCCAAGAGTGCTTGGGTAGAGGTAGTTTTGTTTCTGCCTTGCATATTCAGTGTCCATTTCTCTTTTATGTTAATGAAAAATTATTTTCAATGTGTGATTTGATTATAATTTATTTGTTCATTTGTTTGTTTATTTTATTTTATTTGTTTTGCAGAACCAGGGGTTGAACTTAGGCCCTTATTATTCTACTGAGCTATCCCCTGATTATAATTTACTTATAAGGATTTAATGATATCCATTTTTGGAAAAAGTTAGGAGTAAAAATTACAAATAAATGAACACATTTCTCCTCTGGACTCTTTCTGTAAAATGCCAATGAAAACAATTTAACCCACGAGTTAAAAAGTCAAAGAATTTTAACCCATTGACTAAGTAATCATTATATTCAGTGAGGGATAAAATTAACTTGCTGTTTCATGGAATTGCCAGCAATAGTTTTTCTTTTTTTGTGGAAGGATGTCATTTGCACATTTTTATAATGTCAAAACATTCAATTATTTCTCTGCTTTCTTTGCATTGCAGCCTTCCTAGAATGCTGAAACAGGTTTGGAGCATTTGCTGTTTTACATTTGACTAATGCAGGGAGTTTCTTAGACTTTGTATGAAAATGGCTGTTTTATTACAGAGGTCTTATCTCCACATGAAGCATTATTGTTTAAAAAAGATTCTTCCTTCTCTGGAAAATGCACCATCACCTGACTGCAGCTTATTGGCACAGGAGGGAGACTGGCCAGGAACAGACTCAGGGAGAGGGAGTCGGATTGGGCCGCCTTGCACCTGCTGGCAGAGGAACTTGGGCTGCCCACCCCTCTAAACCCACTTCATGCAGTCTGCCCTCAGCCCATTGCCATGACTCAGGGCGTCTTCGCCTTCCCTTGGGGCAGTAGCTGGGACGCTGCTAAGGCCGAGTCCAGCTGCCTGCGCTTTCATCTCTGAAGCCATGCTTGTCTGGCTCACTGTCACGAAGCAGCGGCTTGCTGGAGACCAAGTAGCTTTAGGTAGAATTTTAGATTGTCCTAAAACTAAATAACTCATGTGACC